AAAAAAAAAAAAGAAAAAGCTAATACTATCATATAAAACAAGTAGTTGGTCGTCAAAGGAAGCACACGAATACGATTTGATAAGAAACTCTTAGTGCATGCTTGGATACAATTTTTTTCCAAAAAATTCCGATCTTTATTAACCAATCACTTGTTTTTTTCTTTTTCTTTTTTTCTTTTACCCCCTTTTTCAATCTAACTGTTACACGATCCTTAATATTATCAATATAATTTAATAATATTACTCAATCATTTTTACACATTACATTAACTTTAATTTTCCACTCACATAATTTTAACTAACCATCACTTCACACCATCTCTCTCCGACTTTTACATCAAATCAGCTATAATTATTTTATTTTAAATATTATTTTAATCTAAACACAAAATCTCACTAACAACCAATCATACCACATTTTTCCAAAATTAACCATACCAAACAAACAAAATCCAAACAAAATCAAAACATCTTATATCCAAGCCACATTAACATCTTACCGTCTGGTCTCCTCGCCTTTCAACAGAAGTTTCTAGAAGCTCATCCGGGTCGAGCGTGTTACCAGTGACAAACGGCCCAAGAGAAGCAATGACTTTTTCCGGGCTCCCTATATCTTCAATTTTTGCGTTTGGCTTGTTCGTCAGTCGTATCAAAGGAGAAGCCACCACCTGGATTTTCCCCTGTTTTTCATCTTCGAATTTCACCTCCACCCATGGCTCGGCACATTTAGGCTGGCAATAGTTTCCGGAAAGTATATTAGCTACACGCATTTGTTTCCAACTCGGGGGCAAGATGAACTTGTAGGGCTGTACATTTCCTGCAGTGAGCTGTATATATTCAGAAGTTTATTATAGAGTAAAGGTGATTTGAGTTTGAGGGAAGAAAAATGAAAAGTGAATATTATTATGAAATGGAAAGGAAACAAACACTTCAATTTGAACCCAAGTTGAAGATAACATTTTTCACTTCCTAATGATGATGATTTCATTTTCATCTCAATGTTTCCATTTGCATACATCAAATGCCCTTATTGAAGTCCTTCAAACATTTAAACCAGCAAGATAATATTTCGAATTTTCGATTATTACATCTCCGATATATTTGCAGGGTTACAGTATTTTGGGTGTCCACTGAAGGGTCTTCCCCCCACTGCCTATTTTCCAAAATTCCCCACTAAATAAGAAAAAAGTCTATATTGGTTTTACCAGATCAAGATCCTCTAAACATAAATAATTTGAAAGAAACTCTTGAACTCTTTAAAATAAGTAGTATGGATACCTCCTAACGGTTGCAACCATACTTTGTCAACAAATATTCATACTTTCAAATTCAAATGCCATACTCCAAAAAAAAATATGAAATTTCCGAGTATAAGTCCGTAAGTCTGTACTTTGCATAAAAAATATGACGGGTCGACTCGCCTATTAGTTAGGTAGCCTAACACAAGAATAAGATATCATGGTGTGCTCAATCACAACTCCAGAACATAAATGCCAGTTAATCTGATAGAAACAATAAAATGCCATTAATTAAAGAACTCACTCTAATATCTCTATCCTCAAAATGGAAACTTTATAACACCAAAACCTACAAAATGTCCTCTTTAGTGTTTAGCAATTCAAAGTTTAACTTCTATTCCAAAATCTCACAATACCAATTAATGCCAACAAAATCACATCTTTTATTTTTTCTTCTCTTCCAAGCACACTCTCCAATCAAGTAAAACACATGCACAATCAATAGATTGCAAATAAACAACATTATAATCCCATCAAAAATTAGAAATTTACCCGCACGAAGAGCAGGGGTGTCCCTGGGAGTGGCAGTGAAGAGGACGAAAGACGGGTCGGCCGGTGACGGCGGGAGGTAGGACCCCACCTCGACCTCTTTCGCCGTCGCCGGTGAAACCGGAGAAATCACGAGGGGCACCCCCACGGCCATTGACGAGCCCATCAAGAATTCTCTTCTCGATATGACGGGATTTTTGCGGGTGGGTGAAAATGGGGTTCTCGAGGTGGGATTTGCGGCGGAGAGAGTGGCGGAGAGTGATAAAGAAGACGCCGCGGCCGCCATTTTTGGTGGAGGTTTGGTGAGAGAAAAACTAGGAAGAGGGGATTTGAAGGGGGAAGTGATGGTTTGGCATTTGGACTGCCACTTGTTATTATCCGTCTTGGATGACAGGATAATAATAATAATAATAATAATAATAATAATAATAATAATAATAATAATAATAATAATAATAATAATAATAATAATAATAATAATAATAATAATAATAATAATAATATTATAATAATTTATAATGTTTTATGCTTATAGTTATTTTAAGAGTTAATTTTTTTATTTTTTTGGTAAAAATTAAAAACTAGAGTTTCTGTTTTCCTGCATTTATTTGATTTAGTTTTGACCTTGGGTCTAATTTGTTATGGATTTTATGTGATGTATGAATTTGTTGTGCATGTTTTTATTTCAAACTTTACAATTTTTGGGTACTACATTCTTATGTGGTATTTGGGTAAATTCAACTCTACCCGTCTATATATATATATATATATATATATATATATATATATATATAGGGATTGAATCCAATGAGTACACATATTTAAAGTGTGAATGTGAGACTCATTCCTAGCCATTAGATTGGTACATTATGTGTGGCTAAGGTTAACTCTTCAATTAAATAATAATTCTTTATTTTTATTACTTATTTCTTTATTTTATTATTTTAATTATTTAAATATTATTTTGACAATTGACTATTGACTCGGCGTTGACCGTTGACTCCGGCGTTGACCGTTGACTTTCGGCGTTGACCGTTGACTTCCGGCGTTGACTTCCGGCGAAAATCGTTGACTTCCGACGTTGACCGTTGACTTCCGGCGTTGACTTTCAACATTGCCCTTTGACCCTTAGCATGCATTGTGTATGAAGTAAATATGCATCAGTATTATGCACTTAGTATGAACTAAATATGCATCATAAATGAATTATATATGTTATCCTTATGAACTAAATATGCACCAGTAATATCAACTATGTATGCACTGTTTATGTACTAAATATGCACATTTCACTAATTAAATATGCATCAGGAATGAACTAAATATGCAACGAAAATATGCAATAAAATATACATTTTATACAATTAAATTAAATATAATAATTAATGATTTTTATTATATA